AGGCAGAGCGCATAACTGGAAAAAAAAAAGAAGAGATTCTGAAACAGGAAAACATGACCAAACAAGTTGTCTAGCATACCAGATCATTTTATAAACACCTAAAAGAGGATTATAAGTGAACAATTTAACGTGGAGCGTTTGCTTCGCTGCATCAGGTGCGTTCACAATGCTTGTGCTGTTTGATGCGGGTGACACTGCGTGAATGTTGTTTCTTTTCGCATTACTCTACAGTATGAGTAACACTGAGCCTTATTTTCAAGAATTTGCGGATGTTGACAGAAGTGAAGAATTTTGACCGATTTCAAGTCTTCACCTCAAGCACAGGAGCCCTACACCAAATGAATGCTGGAGAGGTAATCCACCTCAAGCACAGGAGCCCTACACCAAACGAATGCTGGAGAGGTAATCCAGGTATTTTGTTTTTGTTCTCATCCCTCTGCTATATGTGATTATTATGTGCATAATAGCGTTTAAAAGGTAAAATTCACGGCCATCATGTCATGTAATGTAGCATGTTCCAATGCCAAATGAACAGGGAGGCCTGCACTCTCTACTTCAAAGCAACAGTGTTAAGTTACCTGAGGAACACAGGCAAACAGGATAATTTAAAGTCCAGGAGACTGCTTATCAAAGTTTGTGTCAGTCACTTGGTGGAGAAGGGTACGATTGTGGGAAGATCATTTCACCAGCCAGGAAAGGTGAACGAAAATGCCTCTCTGTAATGTTACCTCAAGGCATTGCTTACTTACAGGTCTCAGGCTTCTTGAGGGGATGTAGATTCGATGCATTCTGAAACATTTGTCGAAGTTTGATTGCGCATGATGGAAGTCCAGCTAGAAGAGCATTGCAATAGTCCAGCCTATAAATGACAAGGGCCTGGGCAAGAAGTTGTGCAGCATGCTCTGTTTGGAAGGATCTGATCCTCTTGATGTTGTGCAATGCAAACCTGCATGATCGAGCTGTCTTTACAATATGGTCCTTGAAGGTCAGCTGGTCACCAAAGAATAATTTTTGATGAACCTAGCAGGATGATGAAATCATGCTGTAGAGTCGGAGTGGCAGGGAAAACGAGAAGCTCAGTCTTTGCCAGGTTGAGCTGCAGGTGATGTTCCTTCATCCATGCCGAGATGTTTGCCAGGCAGCCTGAGATCCATGCAGCTACTATTGGATTGTCTGGTTGAAATGAGAGATAGAGCTGTGTGTCATCAGCATAGCAATGGTAGGAGAAACCATGTGCTTGTATAATGGGTCCCAGTGATGTAGTGTATATGGTGAAGAGGAGGGGTCCAAGAACTGATCCCCGAGAAAACCCTGTGGCCAATTGATGTTCTTTGGATACTTCTCCTCCCCAGGAAACCCTGAAACACTTACCTGTGAGATAAGATTCAAACCAGTGGAGTGCAGATCCAGTGATGGCAGACAGGATAATCTGATGATTGTGTCAAAAGTGGCAGTGTCAAAGTGGCGTGGTGGTAAGCCATTTGAGATCGAATGAAGCTAGGAGTGGAAGTGGAAATCTGCAGTGTAAGGCTTCTCCAGATGAATTTCGAAAGTCACCAAAGACTACAAGTGGACTGCCATCCACAGAGAATGAGGACAGCAGCCCATACAGCTCCTATATAAAGGTACCCAGTTGACCAGGAAGGTCGATAAATCATTACAATATGGAGTTTAACAGAAGCTGTTACTATAATAGCATGAAACTCAAAATAAAAGTTGTTAGAGAGAACAGCAGGGGTTGCGGAGTCTTCTGGACGAATCCAGGTCTCAGTCAAGCCCAAGATAAGAGTACACTGAGAAGCAATGGCCAGAATGAAGTTTGTTGACAGCTGACTGACAATTCCAGAAGACCCACAGAAAATGACAGATAGGACGCAGCTTAGCAAGATTGCGTTGCCGTCTGCGTTTGATGTTAGACCATTGTTTAGAGAGAACAAGAATGTATTGGAAACATACTACTGCCTACCTGACTCTGCCCGAGAGGTAAGGAAAAATACACTTACTTGAGATGATATTTTTTTATATCTCTGA